TCGTAGTTCATGAGTTCAAGCTCCATGTCAGGCTTTGTGCTGTCAGCTCGGAGCCTGGAGCCTGCTTCGGATTCTGTGTCTCCCTCTCCCTCTGCCCTTCCCCCACTTGCACTCTGTCTCTCTCTCAAAAATGAATAAAACAGTAAAAAATTTTTTAAAAAATAAAAAAAGATGACTTAAAGCTTTAGATATGTTGAATTCAAAATAATGGTGAATCATCTAAGAAGAGATGTGCTAAGGAGGGTTGGAGATATGAAACTGAAGCACAGATGAGAGATGAGGGCTTTTCTTTAAAAGAAAAATACTGAACACTTGCTGTGTGCTAAGCATTCAGGATGCAAACATGAGTAAGATATGGTTCCTGCCATCAAAAAGCTTATAGTGTAGGGGCACCTGGTTGGCTACATCAGTAGAGCATGTGATCTCAGGGTCATGAGTTCAGGGCCCCATATTGGGTGTAGAGATTAATGTAAAAAAAATTTTTAAAGAAATGAATAGTCAAATGGAAGGTGAGACAAGTCAACACAGATTATGCTGATGACTACGAGAAGGATGGATAGAAAGAAGCAAGAGTACAAGCAAGGAAATGTTACTGCAGTGACCCAGATAAGAGATCCTTGTGGCCTAGACTTGAGCAGTGAGAGCTGAGTAGAGACAAGACAGATTCAAGAAATATTTAAAAGGTAAATTGCACTACTAGGTATTTATCCAAGGGATACAGGTATGCTGTTTCAAAGGGGCACATGCACCCCAATGTCTATAGCAGCACTAACTACAATAACCAAAGTATGGAAAGAGCCCAAATGTCCATCAGTGGATGAATGGATAAAGAAGATGTGGCATATATATATACAATGGAGTATTACTCGGCAATCAAAAAGGATGAAATCTTGCCATTTGCAATTATATGGATGGAACTAGAGGGTATCATGTTAACTTTAATCAGCCAGAGAAAGACAAATATCATATGACTTCACTCATATGAGGACTTTAAGAGACAAAACAGATGAACATAAGGGAAGGGAAACAAAAATAATATAAAAACAGGGAGGGGGACAAAGCATAAGAGACTCAAATATGGAGAACAGAGGGTTACTGGAGGGGTTGTGGGAGGGGGGATGGGTAAGAGGCATTAAGGAATCTACTCCTGAAATCATTGTTGCACTATATGCTAACTAACTTGGATGTAAATTTAAAAATAAATTAAATAAAATTTTTTTAATACATACACACACACATAAAAATAAAAGGTAAACTGCCCAAGACTTGGTAAATGGTTGAATGGTGAAAGTCAGGGTGAGGGAGGAGTCAAGGAGGATCACTCCCAAGGCTAACTGGAATAACTAGGTGAGTGATAGTACCACCAACTGAAATAGAGAATAAATACCAGAAGAGGAGGAAGCTTATGTAGGAAGAAAGCAATTCTGTTTTGGATTTGAGTCTAATGTCCGTAGAAAGGATTTCCATGGGACATTCAGGAGGAGATTTCAGCAGCAAGCTTGAAGGACAAAACTGAAGCTTAAGAGGGAACACTTGTGCTGAAGGTGTGGGGCCAGAAGCCATCAGTGTACAAGTGGTAGTTAAGTCATAGACGTGAATGAGAGAAGAGTACGTGAGGAGAGAAAAACAGTGGATGAAAGACCGAACCTTGAGGAATATCAACATTTAAGGAACAGAAAGAGACGGAAGAGATTATCAGACAATGGTAGGAAATGAAAGCCAGGTTGGAGTGGGTTGCAAAACCGAAATCAAGATGTTCAGAGAGCAAGGAGACCACAACTCAGAACACTGCAGAAAATGGGGGAGCAGCCACAATTAGAGAGCAGGAATTCCTAAAAGAACCAGTAAATCACAAGGAGAAAAGGCATTCAGAGAGTGAGGAGTATGTCATAAAAGTGAGTTGAGGGAAGTGTTAGGCATAAAGTAATCAGGGGTGTACTACCCTTTTTCTAATCTTCCCTTGTGGTACATAGGAAATGTTGGCTCTAACAAGAAAGGTAGACTGAAAGGGTTTGGGACCTAGGACAAGGACTGCTGCCCACTGGGGTAGTGCAGGTGCTGGCGAGAGAGTAAAATTTGGGTAGGCATAAAGAAACTATGCAGCGCTAGATACATGGGTAAACCAGCTGCTAGTAATCAAGGAAGCAATACCCTCCCCCACCTTTCTACCCTTCTCTTGAAGCACATGGGAATGTCTTTTCTTATTTTAGCTGGCTGTTACCTGAATGCAGGCCTATTCGAATCCGGACTGGGACCTCTGGCATGTGTCGCATCTTGAAGGTACCAACGGAGCTCAGGATATCTAGGGACATGTTTGCAATCTCAGCTGCATGCCTACTGCCATTCCTCTTTGGGAGGCCTGAGGCCACCATGTAAGCATCTCCAATGGTCTCTACCTGGGAATTATGGGAAATAGAATTAGCAGGCAAATAACGTGTGTGTTGTATGCATGCGTGTGTGCACACATGTGGATGTGTCTATGTTTCACAGAGCTTAAGGAATATGATGGAGGCCTACTTCTTGTAAAGGGAGGAAGACAGAGCAAGGCTCTCAGTGGTTCAAGGTCTGGCTGCACATTAGAATCATTTAAGGAGCTTTATGGAAAAAAAAGTACTGATGTATAGGTCCCACACCCAGAGATTCTAAAATAGGTGCAGCTACTTTGCAGATTCCTGCCATTCCTAGAGAACTATCAGTCTCCAGGTAATTCCTGGAGAAAGGGGAAGGGAAGATTTCTGGTACCTCCCATGGGTTTCCATGGAAGAGCCCCCTAGCTGAAAGTGCATATGGCACTCTTCTAACAAAGCATTTCTCTAGATGATTTCAGGTAAATGAGCTGGGGCAGCCTTAAGGCAAATATAGAGAAAGGGAGAGGAAGGAGGTAGAAGAGATTGTCCCTTCTGCTTTGCCTTGGGTCTGAGAACTGGGTCTTTTTCCACCAGCTACCTCCTCCTCTCCTGGTGCTACCTATCTAAGGAGGAGCAGTACGTGCCCTCAACTGCTTTGCAGGGGGCAGTTAGAGCTGGATACTTGTAAAGAAAGGCAATCTATGTTCCTCATCTTCCCAACAGAACTGTCCTCACTCTTAGGTGACTAGTAAATTGAAGCTTTTCAAGTAAATCCAAAAGATAAGTAAGCTGAAAGGATTCCCATGAAATGTGCCAGTCAGGCTCTGCTAGGATAAGTTTGGATCAAGTTAAAATCCATGTTCTTCTAGACAACTGCACTCACAGAGTGCAATAGTTAAGACCATGAAATTCTGATGTCATACCACCTTGGTTAGAATCCCAGATACACCATTTATAGACTGCATGGCTTTGGGAAGCCACTTAACTTCTCTGTGCTTTAGTATCCTTATTTGTAAAATAGGATAATGGCAGTACCTACCTTATAGAGTTTTCTAAGGACTAAATAACCTAATATATGCCAAAGCACTTAAAACCTGTCTGGTAGATGATAAGGGCAAGCTATCAGCAGCAGCAGCCATCATCATCATCATCATCATCATCACCAAACTGATATGTCTTGACATAAACCATGGGATGGTGGCTATGACTCAGTTCCAGAGAAAGTTTAGTAATCAGCAATAGGCCCCTCATCATGCCTTTCTATATAGCCAATAACAATAATGCTTTGAATCCATGGGACTTTGCACCTCACCATGCTTCCATCCAGGGCCTCCCTTACCTGGTGCAATTTGAGAAGAGGATCCCTGCCCTCAAATATGTATGCCTGCCTGCACAGAGGAAGGCAATGGTTATGATGCAAATGTTACATGGGAGGGAGAGACTCACTGGCTGGCCATTATCAAAGAATAGTGGTTGACTCTTCCCCCAAATGATTCAGTCACCCAGGGGTCCCCACCAGTATGGATGAAGATATTAGAAGGCAGGGAGCATGGGCACTGCCTAGTCTTGGTGTGAGACTGCTGTGGGGAATTGTGGGTGGCGTATGCCAGCATAAGGACACAAAAAAAGCAGAGGATGTATAGAAGGAGGTCTGGTTGAGATTGGGTGGTGGCAGGACAATTGAAACTGTAAACAAAGCACCAACTTCATAATTCTGAAGTAACCTTCTTACTTTCATTTCAGATTATCAAGTGCCAGGGGAGGTGATTCCAATTTTATAGGTAAAGAAAATGAAAACACAAACAGGTTTGGTGAGTCACTTCTGGTTTAATTTTTATTTCCTTCGCACTGTTGCTTTTAATAAACAGCAGTGAAAAGTTAGATTTCATTTTTGTATTTGTATAGCCCTGTTTTTTCCTGGAAACAGCCTACTAACTCCCTTCTGCAGCCATAAAGTACCAAAAGATCTTATGGCCTCAGCCCTAAGACTTCCAACAATTGTCTGAACAGTATCAGCTTCATTGATTAAACCAGTGGCTGTGTTACTGCCCATGCTGAATTATCTTTGATTTTAGTTTCAATTGAATTAGCTTTTGGTGATTTGTTTTTCTCTTCAAGCTGCTTGAGCTGAACAAGTTAAGACAGGTAGTCTGATTCCATGGATTTTTCCTACACTGTGGTTTCCATGTGTGCTTCTTGATTAGTTTGTACTCCTGCTGATTGACAGGTATGATGTCTATTTCTGAGCCCTATTTAGGTAGCTTGGCCTACCCCTCAGGCTCCGTACCTGACCTGAAAGGGCCCTGCCTAATCTGGGATAAACACACTGCCCTGTGTGTGATTTGAGAGTTGGAACATTTCAGACTAATGTGAAGGATCCAATGAATGGAGGTACTCATTCCACAGCTCTACCTTGGTTCCTGGGACAGAGGAGCTGTCTGAAGTTTGGGATGCCTGGGGCATATTTCTCCATCAATAAGACAAGTATCCATGTTGCAGACAACATGGAAATGGCATTGCACAGCTGTAAGATTTTTAGTCATTTTCTGCCTCAATAAAGACAACACATAAAATCAAGGGTAAGGAAGCATGGCACCTGAAATGAGTGAATGTAGTCATCTGTTCTCTGCTCATCTTCTGCAACCTTGATAGGAAGAGTGGAAATTGACAGCTGGAGGGGCGGGGGGGAAGGTGGGGGCAGGTGTTTGCAACCTCACAATTAATGACTTCCCTAGACCTCAGACTACTAAATAGGCTCTTGGTTACCCAGTACCAATCCCAAAGAGCCTCAGGTCTAATAGTTCTTTGACATATGTAATGCCAGAGTTCCCCCCTGTATAAAAACATTACCTAAGGGAGGAAACCAAATTTTAGCAGCATGTATTAGATCTACACAAGCTTTACCAAGAGGAACTCTGTAGCAGTCATCAACTAGGGGCAAAACATCAATGCTTCTTCCCCTTCCCCTTCAGTACCTAGCATGATAGTGCCTACAGTGTGGTTACTTAGCCACTGAAACACAATAAGCCTTTTTTGCTCTTCTTAGTCTCAGTTCTAGAAAACAGCTCAAAGGAAATCTAACTAGCAATCTCTTGCTGGGTTCATACTGTTACTTTGTAAAGTGTGAAATTGTATGCATTCTATCCGGCCTTCATTTCTAATAAGGTACCAATGGAAGTGGTATACTATTTAAATTTTACTTCCTAACTAACCACATTCAGTAAAATCCTACCTTTTAGTTTTGGAATGCATACCAATAAGCCTCATACAAAAATTTTCTCTCTAGAATATATATGTCTCTGCTAAGTAACTTACCTTGTAGACATCATGACTGCCAATGATGGCATCAAAGAGTGTGTACAGGTCATTGAGAAGATCCACCACCTCAATGGGCTCACTCATGGCAGAAATGGTGGTGAAGCCCACAATGTCACTGAAGTACAAGGTGACCAAGTCAAAGCCCTCAGGTTCAACCGTGCAGCCCTTTTTGAGGGATTCAGCAACTGACCTGAAAAGCAGACACAACTATTCCTCAGAGAATATAGGCCTCCCTGCATGTCACACACACATCTGCTAGAGCACAGTTTCTTCAAAAATCACTGCCAAGTAAATGATGAGTAAGTAGATGTCATCTGGATGAAAACATTAATTATTTAATTTATTCTATAAATATATATTGAGTGTTTATGATGTGCCAGGCACTGTTCCAGATGCTGGAATACAGCACTGAACAGACAGCCTTTGTCTGTGTTTTTGTGGAGTTTTTTCAGCAAGCTATCCTTCTTCCTCAGCTGTCTCTTCACTCGGGGAATGTTCCTAGGTGGCTGCTTTGCATGAGACTAGTTTCCCCTATTGTCTCCTAGAAGATTACCTTATGACATGATAAGGTGCCTTGGAAATTTTGGAAACTGTATCAACAGATAAGGCTTTGAACTAAGAAAGAAAAAACCTAGAAGAACAACACTGCTACTTTCTTCTAGGAGCTCAAAGAACTGCCTCCTTTTAATTGGTCAACTTCCAGGCAAAGTCATGAAGTGACACATAGAAAAACTGAAGCACCAAAAACTTAAATGACCAGCATGATCCACAGGTAGTGGGAAATTAGGAAGTGTGCTCTTCTCCCTTGGTTTCCAATTCATCTTTGATTTGAAGGTGTGACTCAAACCTACTGGGAGTAAAGAGGGTACAGGACAGGGGGAGGGAGCAGTTAGTTGATGGGTAATTTTTTTTCTATTTTTAATAGAACACACTGTTACAAGGATTCACACTCCTCAGGTGTTCACACATACGGTGGTAGCATCTGTGTTAGAAGCTTTTCCGTTTTCTGTTTTTCAATTTCCAGCTCTTCAGTCCGTTCCCGGATCAAATCTTCCAAGTTGCTAGAATATTGTTCCAACATCCGAAGCATGGAATCAATGATATTGGTCTTCTTCCCTTTATTGAAAGTTTTAAACTGGAGGTAAAACAGAAAAAGGAGCCAGGGAATTCTTAACCCACAAACTCAGAGATGATGGCTAGGACACCTTATCAAAAATCCCTTCCTCCAAAACGCCAGGGCATGAGAAGTAAACCTAGGTATAAGTAGGAAAAGTCACCACTCAACTTCATTGTTACCTGGCCCATTCACAAGACTCTTTTCCCCTGAGCCCTTCTTCCCCTACCCTTCTGGTTCTTTGAAATCTGAGCAAAGGTGTTCTGGGAAGGATTCTTCAGTTCCCAGATGCTGTCACATGAATAGTAGCCACTTCAAAGACAATAGGATCTAGTCTTGAGCTCTGGCCATTTGTGAGTGGGATAAGAGGAAAGAGAGAAGGAAGCACAGTTTTACCCTTCTAGATAATCAGCCTATGAAATCATCCTTACTTCTAATGCCACTGTGTTATCAGTTCTTGGACAGAGGGAGGTTCCTTGACCTCTTAAATATGACCCAAGAGCTACATGGTAAAATCTACCCCTATTTCTTACCATGGGGTCCAGGAATAATGATGTGCCCTACCACCTGCCCTTCATGTCAGTCAGGGTCATGTAGAAATTCAACTGGTCTCGAGCCATTCTATGCCCTGATCCTTTAGAGGTGGGTGCATGCCGCAGCTTTTTCATGAGCCCTCCTGAGACTCTGTCCATCTACAGAGACAGGGAGAGCGGCATAGCATTGGAATCACAAGAGTGTAGCCCCTCCTTGCTGATGTGGTCAGCATGCACAAGGCTGTGTTTACAATAAAAGACTGGTGGTAGTTTTGCTGAGCAGACGTCTAGGAACCTATCCCAATGAACGCTTTTTATGCAGCTGGGCCACACATGCTCCCCTTAGCACTCAGTGTCCCAAGGCTGATACTAGGAGTCCCTTTCTGAGCCTGGTCCACATCTACATGTCTACCAAAGTCCTACAGGTAATCTCAGTAGCCAGTTGAATTGTTTAACACCCCCCCCCATTGCCTAACCCAGGGAGCCTCCCCCTCTTCCTCTTTCCATTTAAGTTTTATTAGCTACAGGAAGTTGGCAGGCTATCCTTGTCTTTCAGTACCGAAGCATTTCAGTAAAGGCAGTCCCACCAATGTCTTGTTTGAAGGCCGTATGATGTGCACTCCTTCTGTCTATCACCAGCTTCTCTGCTACTTCTGAAATAACATCTGTAGCATCAACACAAGAGCAAATGCTTTTCTCCTGCCTCATGGTAAGTTTTCAGAAATGTGACCTTCATGGTCCTTTGCCTTTTCCATACTATTGAATACATGTTTGAGTGTCCTCGAGAAACCCAGCCAGGCTAATGGAGGCATTGTTAGCTGAGGACATGGATGACTTCATATGCAGGGCCCCTCAGGCTTTCCATCCAACTCTTTCTTTTTTCTGCCTCAGATACCTGCCACTCACAAAGCATCTCAGTGCTGTACTCCAGCCAGGCTCAAAAGCTTCTCCACCAGAGCTGACACAGCACTCACAGAAAGCACCCTCAGTTTCGGTATCCTGTAGTTTCAACAAAGCCCTAAGCAGCATGTTCCTACATAGGAACTGCACTTTAGCTCCCTTAGCAGGGCTCTCTCTGTCCTTACCTCATTTCCCCTTTTTCATCCCCAACTATAGGGAAAGAATCAAACTCTTTAGAAATTCAATATCTTAAGGAGAGAAGTTATTTTCCGTGCACTCTATTGCCTCAAGGAGTTCCCTAGGAACCTAAAAAGGCTTTACTACTCCCCATTTGCACTTTCTTCCATCATGGGCACACTTTCAAACACCATTTATCTTTCCTGACCCTCCAAAACCATCTGGCATCACTTAAATGGTATACTCAGCAGAGTTCTCTGGGATCTCCAAAGCAAACATAGCTCTATGAAGGTCCACATCTCTTCCATGATACCCATCTTTTAACAGTCTCAATGCCATTGCCTTGCAAATGCCCAGTGGTTCAATTTTATTTCTGAAAGGTTGGTTAGGTCAGAATGTGGATGGTCTGGAACAGAGGTTCATATACCAAAGAACATTAAAACCAACCATTGCTCTCTTGGAGGATGTGCTAGGAATGCTCCAGGATCAAAAGCCTCCAACTAGCCACCCCATGCTACTTCCCCAAGAGGAGTGATTTTCTCTCTTGCAAGAGATTCCTTTCACAATATGATGAGAACCCAAATACTTACTTTTGGGTAGGCCAGCTTTGGGATGACTTCTGGGCAATGCTAAGATTCAGAGAGTACTTACCTGATTAAATATTTCATCAAAAGTTGGTCGCTGTTCTGCAGCTTCAGCCCAGCACTGCTTCATTAGCTGGAGACATTCTGCTGGGGCATACTCAGGAGGAACAACTGGTCTGTACACAGGAGGAGGCTTCTTAAGTCTGTCTATGATTTCTGTCCAGAAACAAGAACAAAAAGTCTTAGAAATCGTAGAAAAAGCACTAGGATTTGGCAAAGATCATAGTTTTAGCCAAGAAAGGGGTTAATCAGGAAAAATCACAGAAAGCCATCTCCTTTGCTTTCTCCTTAGGTGGCTTGAATATAAATTGTATCTGAGCAAAGGATGTGTCATTCAATTGATGAGGGGACAAGAAAATAATCAGTTGGGCTATTAGTATCATTTAGGTACAGCTTTATCCTGCTTCTACTAGGTTTTAGATGTGGCCTATCTGACATTGATTCTAACACTACACACCTCCAATGATCTGGCTCCCTTCACTGACCACCAAATCATCTAAACTTTTCAGTCTCCACAGTAGACCCACTTAGCCCTCCCTGAAGGCCCAGGCCCAGCCCAGATCCATGCTGTGAGCCCTGCCTGGCCCCTAGGGAAAGAGGATTAAGAACTCCAGTCAATAGTTCAAGACCTCATCTGGATCCTCCTGACTGCTTGTCCTTAAACTTCACTTTCAGTGGAAAATTTACTACGTATCAGACTATGGACTAACCACACTGAATGCATTCTTTCATTAGATTCTGACTACAAACAGATGAGGTAGGAATCCTTATTTTTATTTTACAGAAGGAGAAAATGAGGGACAGAAAGAAAGTAAATTGCTCAAAGTCACAAGGCTAGTAAGTAACAGAATTTGAATTTGACCCCAGGCAGTCTTGCTTCCAATTGCCTCAGACTTCAAGTAGGAGTTCCAAAACTCCCTGTTCAAGACCCAAAAACCATTAGTGAGCAAAGATCTAGATTAGGGAGACTGAGAGAACTCCCTGGAAGTATGAGAAAATAGTTAGCCTCCAATGTCCTCAGCAACCCACACTCAAACTGGACCAGCCTAGCCTTCTGCCAAACATTCTTAAAACACGAATCTGGCCATGTCACTTTCTTGCTTAAAAACCCTTTCACGACTTCTCATAACGCAGAGGGTAAAATCCAAGCCCTATCTCTTGAGCTCATTTCTTATCCCTAAACACCTCCCAACACCCCCAACTCCAATATTCTTATCATGAACCAAACCTTGCTTGCCCCACCAGTGTGCCCTCCCCACCCTTACATTGGCTATAACACTCCAACAGTGTTGCTTCATACCATAGTAAGTGTCCCCTTGTTTCTATGAAAGAATTTCAGCTGTTGCCTCTGACTTCTCAGTGCCTTGTCACATCACACTTCTGCTCCTTTAGCCCAGGTTGGCCTATACCAGGAATAGTTTCTCTACTGCAGCACCCTGCCCTCAGTGTAATAGATTCCATGTGAACCAATCCCTTGGGGTGTGACTGCCCTCATCTGCTCTCTGGTAAAGGGAGTCCTTATCCTTTTACCAGAATACCACTGAGTTGAATGGGTTACCTCTCTGCTGAGGTTCAGCATAATTCATACCCTTCAGGACTTAATAGTCCAATTGAGGAAATAAACAATGACCAACAATATAAGCCTTCTAGCAGACATATACACAGGGATGCACAGAGGGGGCACCTTGCCCACACGAAAGAAGTTATAAAAGGTTTTCCAGGGCAGATGGTAAAAATTGGATGATGCAAAGTGGGGAGGTGAGGGCATTCCAGGAACTGTGAACAGCACTCTTGAAGGCACAAAGATAAGAGACCAAGGTGCATCCAGTCATGTGGTTTCGCTGGTGTGCAGGGGGTGACAGAAGACAAGCTTAGATACGTGGCTAGGGGCCAGATTATGAAGAGCCTTGTATGTCATGTGAGGAATCTGGGCTTCATTTGACAAATGATGGGAAACACTTAGAGAGTTTTGAGTAGAGGAATGATCTGGGACTCTGAGTAGGGCAAAGGATAGTTAAGTACTTGGGGTTTCTTTGTTTTGTTTTATTTGCATTTTTTAATTTTTATCTTGAAATGAATTTAGACTTCCAGGAAAGTTGTAAAAGTAGTATAATAATTCCCTGTATACCCTTCACTCAGCTTCCCTAATGTTAATAGCTTATATAACCATAGTACAAAGGAAATGAACATTTGGTACAATACTAATACTACTGTTCTAGTCTTTATTTGAATTTCATCGATTTTATTCCTAATATCCCTTCTCTATCCCACAATCTTGAATCCAATTCAAGATCCCAATCTGCAGTTAATTATTGTGTCTCAGTCTCCTTCAATCCATGATGGTTCCTTATTCTGTCACTGTGTTTCATGACTTTTGATGAGTATTGGACAGTTATTTTGCAGAATGTCTCTCACTTAGGGGTGTGTCTGATGTTTTCTCATGGTTAGATTCAGGTTATGCATTTTTTGCAAAAATTCCACAAGGGTGATATTGTGCCCTTCTTGGTGTATCACTTCAAGGGGTACATGAGGTTAACATGCCTTGATCACTTGGTTAAGGTAGTGTCTGCAGGATCCTCTGTTAGTAAACGTATTATTTTTCCACCTGTAATTAGTAAGTATCTAGAGGGTTTACACTCTTAGAATATGCAAATATCCTGTTTCCCCTCAAACTTTTGCCCACTGATTTTACCATTCATTGATGGATTGTGCCTGGTAGTCAAACATTTTCATGAAAGATGAGGATGAAAGCCTATGGTATGAAAATATGGAAGGACCTTGCCATTCACCAGCATCATGAGGGGTACTGAAATACCTGGCATGGAGTGTCTCAAAGTAGAGGAGGCTCCTAAAAAGAAAGAAAAAAAAAGGACCAACATAGGTCCTGTAGGTCCTTGGCTTGCATCACAGTTTGGGAAAAGCCAGCTTCTTGGGTTATGGAATTTCTTCCAAATGCCTAAATCTGTTTGGCTCCAAGTCCCACCCATACACAACTTGAGTTATTTGCAGACTAGCAGGCAGTTAGCACAGACAGATAAGAGTGTTCACTCTTGTGGCAAATTATAACAGCCTGGGTTAGGCTGATGATCTGGGTCATGGTGGCCCCCAGTGCCCTTTTCTCACCTCCTGCTTACCTTTGGCAGGCAGATCCACCATGCAGAATGGGGTGCCCCGGACCATCACTTCTTGCATGATGATGGCAAAGCTATAGACATCTCCTGCAAAAGAACCTAACCGGCTGCCCTTTGGAGCTCTCAACAGTTCAGGGGCCGTCCATAGCAACTCTGAAAAGAAAGCATTGTGTAATAAATGCAGGAAGGATTAACTGACAGCATCTGCAATGCCCTCAAGGGTTCCAAGGGTGCTGTTTTATTGACTGCTTTATATTTTTATTAGATAGAATGGCATGCTAGTGCCCCCCAGGGTCCAAATCTATGAATCTAAGAAATTACGCACAGAGAAAGCATACTACTCTCCCCACTCCAGGACCATGCAGGCAGACACAGCAGAGGTGTGGGGAAGGGCAGAGAAGCTCAAAGTAGCAAAACTATCTGGCACTTTCTTTCTTGCTCTCTTGAACCTGCAAGTAGCAATTGGCAGGCTGCCAGGGAAAGGCAAGTGCACAACCACTCTAGTTGCCATGGATTTGCTGTTTGCTGAGATGTATATGTGCCTGGTAATTTGATTGTGTTGGAGCTCAGGGATTCACAAGTTGCTTTCTCCAGGTCTTCTCTAAGAGGATTAGAGGATCTCCAGGCTCCCTCTATTCCTCAGAGCAAAAAGGTGCAACAGTCCCTTCAAGTCAGTTCTACAACTATTTATTGAGGGTCTACTATGTACGAGGCACTATGCTAGGTACAGGGATGGTGCCAGAGATGAATTTGACCTTGCCTCTGCCCTCGTAGAATTCACAGACCAGTGGGAAAGACAGACCTGTGAACCCCTGCCTGCAATACACGGCAGGGCCACTTAAGTAATGTAGAAAGAAATACACATTAATACTATAAATGGACTAGTCAAAAGTTGGAGGCAGCCTTTTACTTTGAATCATATGAAATTGCCATTTCTGTGGGTCAAAAATGGTTGAATATTGGCAATTCCATGAAGTTCAAACTAGAAAAAGAGAAAACAGCTGGTCAAATTAATCCAGGAAGGCTTCCTGGAAAAAGTTAAATCTTAAAGGAGTTTGTTCAAAAGGTCAAGGATGCAGTTTCCTAGAGCTGAGAGGGTAAGGGCTTTGCAGGGAGAAAGAACAGTACGTGCAAAAGAACGAGAAGTAGAAAGGAGCAAATTGCAGATGGGGGTGGTGGTAAGCAGATTAGCTTGGCTGAAGAGAAGGGCTCTGTTAAGGAATAATGAGAAATGAGAAATGGGCTTGATGAAGTGGGGGAGGGAGAGTGGCTGGAAGAATGAGGGCAGAAGGTGAGAGGCCCTGAGAGCCAAATGAAGGCATTTGGAGTGAATACAAAAGGCAGTAGGGGTGCGGGAGCTGGAAAGGGATTTGATGAAAGCCGTGTTTGGAAGATTAATCTGGCAACCTGCACAAACTGGATTGAAGAAGGAGAGAGGCTGGAGTCAGGGAGACCAGCTAGGAAGTTATTACAGTAAGAGCCAGAGGCGAGGGGAAGGGGGCCAGAATGGGGGATGGGGGATGGGGGCAGCAGCAGCAGGACAGGGAACCAGATACACAGGAAGGCTATAATGAAGGTAGTGACTGGGCTGGGGATGGGATTCATGAGCTCCTTGGAGGGGAGATGTTTGGAGTAAACAAGGGGTTGAAGTCCAGGAAGGCAGTCTGGAGAAGAGTGTCTGCTGAGGGTGAGGGTGAGTGCAGGGGGAAGTGCTGGCTAACTTTTCATCTCTATAAATTTGGGGTATTGAGAAGGGATCCCACAGGACTAGCCCATGGGAAGCAGGCCGGAGGATGGAAAGGTCAGAGGTTATTTTGATTTGTTAGTGAAACTTGGGAAAGAGAAACTCGCCCTGGAAATTCCTATTTTGAGCCAATCCTGATCAAAATGGTGGAACAGGGAATTCTAGCCTCACCCCCAATCATGTACTCACTTTCTCCCTTTGTCTCCCAGATGTCCCCAGCCTTTGTCCCACACCCCTACATTCTTCCACCCTCATGACATTCTCTGATATTTTTACTATAATGATTTTGCCATTATATCTTCTTGTCTAGGAGGATTTGTATTTGCAAATAACCAAAAGATTGAACATTACTTTGGTGAAAAGAATACATTTCTGACTGTGGGATTTCAGGAATACATTTCTGATATGGTTTGGAGGGGCGGGGGGGGTGTATCTTGGAGCAAGAAAAACGCAGCTGCTTCTTCTGTTACCCTCTCTCCTGCACATTTAAAAGCACAAGAACGGAAAAGAGGGCGAAACTCTCTGGTAAAAAGCGAGGTGATTAAATACAATCATTACCAAATAGTATTTTCAAAGAGCACTTACATGTATGTTGTTAATGGCTAAAATGAGGCTTTATCTGCACTATACTTACATAATTGAAAGTGGACAGTAATGAATACACTTACAACCTACCCCCATTTCCCCATCCCCACTCCAGAGCCAAGTAAGAGCCACTACCTGCCATTAGACTTGAACTCTCAGGAAAACTAGAAAAATTACTTTGGCTTGTTTTGTATCTGATGATGCCAGTACTAACTCTGAGCCTTGCTATGGTGATAAAAATCAACTGTGGAGAGCCAGCGTGGTGAAGTGCAAAAGAAAGTAGAGCTGAAAGTCAAGAGACAGGGGTTCACAATCTTAGCTTGGTCACCTTACCAAACCTCAGCTTCCCCATCTGTAAAATGGAAGTTGAGCCAGATGATTTGCAAGGGCCTCCTAATTATAAGATTCTATTAGCCCTGTCATCTAAGAGGGAAGCAGTAAGGTACATTATTTCATTTTATTCGATCAATTCACTGATTCAACAAACATTTGTTTTGCCAGATGCTGTGAAAGGCACTGAGGGAGGCAAGCCTGTTTCTTGCCTTTGCAGAGCTTATAGGTTGGGAAGGGAGAGAAGACAGCATGCCATATCAACAAAGTATGATATTACAACTGGAGCGCCTGGGTGGCTCAGTCAGTTGAGCGTCCGACTTTG